AGAACAAGTAAAATATATCCAAATACAGCCTTGCCTTTAAACCACTGCAGGCACATTTAAGACAAAACACCATATTAGTAGAGGCATTAAAATAATTTTTCTGGAACTTGACTCTATTAGTTCTCCTACCTAGAGCTGAAATAAGAGTGTGCACTCCATGCTTGATCCAGCCATTTCATCTTCTGATTCCTCCTCATCGTCCTTTACCTCCATCTCTTTATGTCTGCATTTCTTTCTTTTTGGCAAAAGTATTCTGTTTAATACAGATCTGCTCCTGGGGCAAAGAAGAGATTGCAGCCTTTTAACAGTGGAGTTACCATGGATACACAGTGATTTCTGGTGGAGAATATCTGACCACACTAAAATTCTGGACCTCGGGGCTGTGTAATACTACTACTTCTGTTAATATTAATTATTATTATTTTCACATTATTGTTGTGGTTGTTATTGCTATTTTTTTAATTTGTTTTAAAAATTTGTTGCATTTAGCTTTATATTGCTATAATAATCAAAAGTAAACGTAAACAATCAAAAGTAACGCAAAAGTAACCAAGTAACGAAAATAGTTACTTTTGGGGGGAGTAACTCAGTATTGTAATGTATTACTTTTGAAGGTAACTTTCCCCCCCAACACTGGTTATAAACTCAGTTTTTAAAAATACTTTTTAGTTTTATACATTCCTATTCTAAAAGGTTCATTTAGGAATATATTTAGGAACATCCTCAAACATAATTTGGCTGATTACGTACAATATTTTATTCCAATAATAAATGCATTTGTTTTCTGGCTGTAAGCAAGAATGTACTAAATCAGTAGATAAAAAGTGATAAAAAGATACTCAAAATCTCCTTTTTAGAAGTTTTTCACTCTAATGTGTTAAAAAAAAAAAACAAGAATTCTGAATCTGACATATATGCCAATATAAATATATATATAACGCATTTTAAAAACTTGTAATACGAAGAAAAATTCATGTAATTAACTGTAGAAGTACAGTGAACAAGTGAGTTAATTCCTTTACCCTATTGCAGTGTCTTGCCAAAGGGATAGTTCACCCAAAAATAAAAATGTCCTCAACTTTTACTCACAGCCAAGTAGATCAAATTCTTTTTCTTTCTGCTGTTGAACACAAAACAAGATACTCAGAAGAATGCTGGAAATCAGCAGCCATTCACTGCATTCCATTCGGAATGGCCCATCACTATGCCCTAATTCCTCTGTATGGTTTACCCTCCAGAAAGAAGAGGGTAAGGGATGAAGGGTGTAGGGTCAAAAAAAATATTTTTGTAACATACTTCTGAGTCATCTTATCGAAATGATCTTGGAGGTGTGCATTCATCACACGTGTTTGTTGGTTGACTCCCAAATTGTTTAACACTTATTTGTGAATGCATGCATGTTTGTATGTCTAATTCAAATTTATTTCATAAAATAAATATTTAATATACAAATATTTTTAAAGTAGTAGCTCACAGAAAAATAATTGTACATACATCATTCTGTGACACCAAACTATTTGCACAAAGGATATTGGTGCCAAAGTGTCCATCAGTTGTACTCTTCATTCCGAAGTGTCCTTCGAAGTAGCCAGATTTGGGCACTTTGGTTTGGAACAACTCTCATGGCAATACGGTCAAGATTGTTTTCACTCAGAAGTGGCCATTGGCAGGCAATATAACATGTTCAGAAACCTTATTTACATCAAGAAGGAAGAAATAGTATTATGGAATCAATGGCTGCTGCTTACAAACACTAAGTTATTTTATAATATTTTTGTTCAATAAATCTTTCTTCTCTGATAAAGGAATCTCAAACTGGTTTTGAACAAGTGAATGGCTTGTAAATTACTACAGGATTTATATTTTTGGGTGAACTATCCCTTTAAAGTGGAGTAGGCACTACTAGTGTCACCTAATGGAAGTACAACAACAAAACGCCGTTTTCAAGCCATGCGTCATGGTTCTTCAAACTACAACAGTCTACAAGTAAAGGCATGTCTTAACAGGTAAAAGTAGGTAAGCTTCAATACAATCTCTTACATATTAGAAATACTTTTAGCTCACCTGCTGATAAGAAACTTTGCGAACATTCCATCAAATTTCATGTACAAAAGCCTAGTACAAGCACTTTTTGTTTAACCCTGTTGTCTGTGTGTATTTTGGCACGTCTTCAAATTTTGTGTTTCACTCCTTTTAAGGCAGGGGTGTCCAAACTCAGCCCTGGAGGGCCGATGTCCTGCTAAGTTTAGCTCCAACTTCCTTTAACACACCCGTCAGGAAGTTTCTAGTATATCTAAGAGCTTGATTAAGCTGCCACAGGTGTGTTTGATTAGGGTTGGAGCTAAACTCTCAGGACACCGGTCCTCCAGCACTGAGTTTGGACACCTCTGCTTTAAGGGAATCTGGATTTCTTTCTTTTGTCAAGAAGCAGTTCAACATCCTCTGGCTCAGCTGCTGCAGTAGCCCGCACCAGATCTGACCAAATGCAATGATTGGATGAACATTTAACGGAACATTTCCTGAGCACTAATAATCTGGATTTTTTTTTTACTCTTGGCCATTAAGGCTGGCAAAGATGCAAACCAGTAATTCTGTTTCTTTAATCGTAAATGTAGTAGATGCAGGTTTCCTAATCGTCCTAATTCCCTCCTAAAGGCAAACCATTGACATAACAAATAGATTTCAATTGGATTTGTGATACAATGCACCATTAAATCTGTAGGCTATAAGTGCCCATTATGTTCACCTTATAAATCACAATCTGAAACATTAATGATACACTGATGAACACATACCATACCAGAAAATGGAGTATTGCTGAAATATTTGATAGACCATTACACAAATGACAGGCTATGATTGCCTTGATAGATTATTTAATTCCATTCAACCTCACCTAAAACAAACCAGGACAAGGCAATTATCAGAAAAATGGATATCACCATCCAAAATACACAGTCTCTTCAAATGTACATTAATGCTAGACAGACAGACATACAGACAGACAGACGGACAGACGGATGGATGGATGTATAGAAAGTTAATTTTCAATTTTGACACGGTAGAAAATAATGTGAGAGCAGGAAAAACGGGTAGAAAAGAACATACTTGTTTTAAACTTGTGATAATCCTAATCCTAAACACGAGACAATGTCACCCTCTAGTGGACAGTACCCGCACTTGCATGTACCTAAATCGGTAATTAGGAACGACGTTTGTCAAATTGGTCAAATATTAAGGAGACATTAATAATGACAATGCAATGCCATGATTACAGATGCTGAAACGAGAAAGAACAAGAAAAAGAAATTACAATGTTGAAGTAGTAGGCTATTCAAGCATTTTTTTTTGTTAAACCACCCTATATTAGTGTTTTCTCTTTTCTCTCTATTGTACAATTATAAATTGCTGATTTACTGACGAAAATACTGTTAAAAACAAAACCCGATTAACATACATACATAAATATAAAGAATAGAAATGAATAAATAGACAGTAATGGTGCTGCAGCGAGGCAGGTGGAAACACACCACTTCACTTCACACAGTTATTTTACAATAATCATCGTGAGAGCTTTCAGTATGAATAAATGCTCATCCCTCAAATCAACAAATTATAAATGTATTTAATAAAATGATCCACAATATCATGTTTTGACAGGCTATTTGCCTATAAAAAGATTCATGCTTTTGAACTTTTTTGTTCGCAAAGCCTGTGTCCAGTGTAAGCTGTTTTGTAAATCTGGTGTAAAAACCGAAAATATTTAAACATTATTTAATTAAAAATAATATTATGTTAGCTAATTAATTTCAGTTGTTAAAAATATGAGACTATTTGATTTAGTGTTGGGGAAAACATAGCTTCAGAATTTATTTTAAGACTGCAGAAACTAAACATTCAGGTGACTACAACCAATAATCCAAACGAAGAATGCTTTATGATGGAATCTAGCAGCTCAGCAAATGGTAAACTCCAACATCCTAATCATTACTAGGTATAAATATATAATGTTTATGAATAAATATGCCACATAAAAGCTGTTGTCTTACAGTATGAACTGTGTCGCCCTCAAGACAAAGTCCTCTAATCCATAAATAATAACAATAAAAATATCAGATAAAAATAGCCTCAAAACAACAACTGTAATTCATCAATTTAGGTTACTGAGTGGACATATTTTTTTCTTTTAAACACTACCTGACAAAAGTCTTGTCGTCAATACCAGTTATAAGAGCAACAAATAACTTAATTTCTAGTTGATCATTTGTCAGAAAGTACATTTTTCTGATGAATCATCTGTTGAACTGCATCCCACTCATCACAAATACTGCTGAAGACCTATTGGAACCCACATGGTCATGGACCCAAGATTCTCATAGAAATCAGTCAAGTTTGGGGTTGCATTCAGTCTGGAGGCATGCGAGAGATCTGCAGAGTGGATAGGAACATCAACAGCCTGAGGTATCAAGACATTTGTGCTGCCTATTACATTACAAACCACAGGAGAAGGGAAATTCTTCAGCAGGATAGAGCTCCTTCTCATACTTTAGCCTCCACATCAAAGTTCCTGAAAGCAAAGAAGGTCAAGGTGCTCCAGGATTGACCAGCCAAGTCATCAGACTAACATAAGTCTAATCTAGAGGCCTTTGCCTTTCATATAAGCCACTTCTGATACCAAATGATCAACTAGAAGTCAAGTTACTATTTGTTCTTCCTAAAACTTGGATGGTCAGGTTGTGTACTCTATGTATAAAAGAAAGTTAAAGTTTGGACAATTTCCAAATGGAAGCACTAGACTAATCCAACATGTTCTTTTTACTCCCCCTTTACATAGAAATAGAAATAAGTAATAAAAGGTTTAACAAAATTCACACAAGTCATAAACAATCTTGCCTCGTACATTCATATTCCTATTGTGGAACACATAGATGTACAAAATGTATGCAGTGCTTTATAGTAAATAAACCTTCATTAAAAATAATAAAACAAGACGACGAATCTGATTTCAAAATAAAAGCTTTTATTATAAAACTATAAGAATTAGGAAAGTTGCTACAGATTTCACCTGCTCATTTAGAAATGGCACATCTGAGAACTGAATGGTTTGACCAAGAACACAATAATACACTCCTCTGAGGCGTCTGCAGCAACACATAATTCCCATTCCTCTGGGTGAGCCACATTTACACTCTTAAATAGTTTTTTTTCCAAAAGACCTCCGTCCAGAATGGTACAATACAACAAACTCATATCAGGGTTGTAATTGATACTTGATTCTTTAGACCAGGAGTGCCCAAACTCAGTCCTGGAGGGCCAGCGTCCTACCAAGTTAAGCTCCAACTTCCTTTAACACACTGTCCTGGAAGTTTCTAGTATACCTAGAAAGAGCTTAATTAGCCGGTTCAAGTGTGTTTAATTGGGGTTTGAACTAAAATATGCAGGACACCGGCCCTCCATGAGTGAGTTTGGGCACCCCTGCTTTAGACCAGTGTTCCTGGGGGACCACCAGCCCTGCACATTTTCCATGTCTCCTTAACTAAACACACCTGATTCAGATCATCAGCTCATTAGTAGACACTGAAAGATGTGGAATGAGTGTGACAGACAAAGGAGACATCCAAAACATGCAGTGCTGGTGGTCCTCCAGGAACGTGGTTGAGAAACACTGCAAAAGAGGGGAGTTTACATAAAGGTGACCTGTTAAGCAGCCAAACTATTGCTTTCCCGGCTAATCAGAAAAGCCATATTTGTCAATGTTATGCTGTTGTGGTATAAAATGTATACAACACGTCCACGACAGTGAGAACCACCCCATATATCCCCTGCAAAACAGAAAGCAACAGATCCATGAGATTGATTTGTTTAGATCAGCACCCAGTAATAATTATGCAAATTATATTTGACCGTTGGGAGGAGAATGTCATTGAGCACCACTTTAGAGTCACTGCATCAAAGTCTTGCAAGAGTTTCCCTTCATCAAGCAACACTGCATGAAGAAAATAGGAAAATGTGAAAACAGGAAAGAACAGTTTCAGCCTGAACCAAAAATAAATTGACTAAAGTATAATGCAAATGTAGTGCACATGACCTCAGGCTGTACAGCTAAAGAAAAGAAGTCAAAACTTAATTGTGAATAAAATCACAGCTATATGGCTGGTTGACCAATGAAGAGCAGCTGCAGTGAATTTGCAAATGAAACAAACATTTCAGAGTAACTATTTTGTTATGATAACTGAATGACCTGTTTGGTGGAACCACATCCCAACACGTAGCACGGTAACATAAAACACCGACAAAACATGCTAGTGCTGCACTTATGTAGATTGGACATTTTCATGTTCAAATTGCGCACGCACACACACACACTCGTAACAGACATTACAAAAATTCTAATGTGCCATTTCAGAGAAATTAAGCAAATAAAAACATCAAATGCATATGAAAAAAATGAGCACCCCAGCCTTTTTTTTTTTACAGCGATGATAATCATACCTGCTTTTTTTCTTCTTAAAAATACCCCCATAAGTGAACTTTCAAGTTGAAATGGCCCAGTCTAACAGCACCCTCTATTGTAACTAATGACTGAGGTAATGTGGCCCGAGTCAAATGATATGTTCAGGCATTTCCTTGATATGTAGTGCTAGTGGTGTTGGTGGGTAGCAAATGGCACTTTTAAAACTCATTATCCCAAAAAAGCTGAGAACAACAGACCCGAAAACGACAACAATGGACTAAATGGCCACACTTGAAAAGTACCAGATCATTCAAATCCTTTCCTCCCATTAGATTGGAAGAAAAACTTACATGATTAGCTTAATAAACCCCTCCAGAGAACTTCTGCTCCATCGGCAGTGTTAAAAACTCATAAACAAACGCCAGACACTGTAGTGCCTCTTGTTAGGCTGAAACACTTTGGACTTTGAATATCCTCTGCTATACACCCAGTAAAAAAAATCCATTTGCTCCTGATTTAGTACTGATCGACAAATCCATCAAACCAGATTCACGTTACCGTTAAATCCCAGCTGAGGTAGGTGTCCAGACAGTTCAGCTGCATAGTGTCAATTCTGACCGACAGATTAAAAATAAAAGGTAAGCAGCCGATGAGATGAGTCTGCGATGCCACCTGAGGAGGTGGAAATCACTGTCAATCAGTCTAGCCAGAAAAGCAGAGGCTATCTGAGTCCAGCCCTCGAGGTCATCCATTCTAAACCTTGACACAGCCTGAAACACATATGCGCACAAATGGTTAAGAGTGACGAATCAACAGATAAATTAGAGCATGATGAACTGATCATTTTCAATGTATTTCTAGCCTGATCTCACAATGAAGCAGAACTAATTTTTACGTTTTGTCAGTTTAGTGGCTAATTCAGTTCAGTCATGTAAAAATGTAGGATTTTAAAACAGAGGTGTGGCTCCCAACCCCACCCCTATATACAATCGTCATTGAGGGATAAGCAAATGTACTAAGGCCCAATCCCAAATTCTGTTTTTTTTATTCTGTTTTTTTTATTCGAGTGTCAGATGTGAAAGTATGTTGTGAGACAGCTGTACAAGAGTTACTATTAAGGATGTAGACAGCGAAATTGTGTTTTTTTAAATGATTTGTTTAAAAGCATGAAAGTAAAACACGAATGTGGTTATGAATATATTAAAATCTGTGCTTGTTTGTTGTAAAAATTCATAATAATAACAAAAAAATAGAAATATGTGCATCTCCTGACTTCCATGTGCGGTCATGCTGCCATTGTAGATGGTGTATTCCTGGAAATTTTCGTACTCCTTAGTTTCGAGTGTGGTCCTGAAAAATCTCCATTTCAAGGGGTATCTAGCCCTTCCCCTTAGCCCTACAACTTCAATATGAAGAGAATTGGGACATCCCTACCCCTTCACGTGAACGCGCAAAACAAGAGGAAGGAGAAGGGCTGAGGGGTAGAATTGGGATTGAGCCAACATTGTACAAATTCATACGAATTAGCCACTAAATCAAAAAGCTACAAACTGCCATGAGATTGTGCTGGTATTTCACTTTCATGAGTGACCGCAATGGTTAAAAAAATATGGCAAATGAGCATGAATGAGCATCAAGGGATAGTTTCTCATTTACTCATCATTCACTTGTCATAAACCTGTTTGGCTTTCTTCTGTTAAACATATAAGAGGATATTCTGGAAAAAGCTGGAAACCTTTAAACATTGACTTGCATAGTATTTGTTTTTCTACTATAGAGGACAATGGTTTCTTTATATCTTCTTTTAGGTTCAGCAGACAAAATAATAATAATATTTAAACAAGATCTCAAAAAGTTTGTTACTTTCCATTGTGTTCCAGTTGACAATATTAATTACCTCAAATTTTTGAAGTATCAAAAGTATCTGCTTTTAGTAGAAAATTTATCTGAGCATAAAGATTTGGTATCTGAGGTACAAATATTTCAGTATCAATTTGTAAATAGTTAGTTTTTTTTAAGGTACTTTGCTATAGAAATCTACAAATGTTCCATATGTTTAGAATTATTACAAACAAACACTGCCTGCTCCGCCTTCACTGGGTGCATCAGATATAAAATATTTTTTAATGAAATCATCTAATAAAGAGCAGTAAGGGATGTTTCATTACACTCATGCACTAATATATTAATCCACTCTTACTTTAAGACCTAGCGCACAGATCCAATATGCTTAATATTTTACAACTGTTTACGTTCACTATAGAATTAACTGACAGAGAATTTGGGAATATAATTAAAGTGATTCACCCCAAAAAAAGTGAAGAATCTGTCATTATTTCCAAACCTGCTTGAGTTTCATTCTTCTGTTGAACACAAAGGAAGATATTCTGAAGTTTGTCCTGAATGTTGGAGGACAAACTCTTCCTACAATGGATGTCAGTGCCTGCTTTTTTACAACCTTATTCAGAATTTCTCATTTTGTTCAATAACAGTAATGCAGTTTAGATCTACATGAGGAAGTAAGTTATGATAAAATGTTCATTTTTTTGGGAGAACTATCTCTTTAAAGAAAGGCATTTTGACATACATCTTGAGTATATCTGGGCAAGTAAAATACACAGAGGCGTGTCCGTGGGTGTGCACAAATGAATGTGTGTCAGTGCAGCATGACCCAATCATGAATACCCCAACTCCTCCACTGTCCCAGGTATATTTGGCAATTTGAAATATTAGACTTGAGTCAAGCCCAAGTAAAAACACATTTCAGTTTGTGACAACTGCAATTTTTAGCTGATTTGAAGATAAATACCCCTACTCTAGTTATTATACCAGGCAACACTGCAGATCTTACCCTTCTCCAGTGAGCGCACAGCAGGACTGGATGTGCCATGGATGATCCTTGATGGAGCTGAGTGTCAGGTATTTGGAAATCTCTGCTGCTGACATACATCCTTTCATGTCCTGCTTATTAGCAAAGATCAACACTGCAGCTTTGCGCAAATCCTGAATGAATGAGGAGAGAAAAGGGGATAGATTTAAAAGGGCTAGGAGACTTGGAAGTATGGGTTTGTAGATATGTTTCATATTTATATTTCAAAACTGTATGCATGTGGTGTAAATGTAAAGCATTACCTCGTGCGCAAGCATTCTGTAAAGCTCTTCTTTTGAAATGGCTAGTCTCTCTCTGTCCGTACTGTCCACTACCAGTATGATGAACTGCCAGAGAAAACACACACACACACACACGCGCAAAGAATTATCATCAGATTACAGGCTGCATACTACTACTGCACTAGCATTCAGAGATGGTTTCTAACTTTAGCAAGACCACAGAGTTGTTTGTTGCTCTGTGCTCATGCCCTTGACGTATCTATGATCTCTTTGAGCGTGTGCTCCTGAATAAAGCTCAACAGCAGGGCCCCATCACAAATCTGACAAGCACACGTTCTGAATAAAAGGCGGGGGGTCTCGCCATTCAAGCCTCTTTGAACTTTGAACTCAGAATCAGTAACCAGCTGCTAAGGTCTGGCAGAATTACCGCTGTGCACAACTGTTGTCCAACTATTGTTCACATCCCACTGAACACACAGCTGTTACTCAGAAACTTTCTTTAAAGATTATATTAGTTTGCCTATGTATTGTTAGAAACTGGTTCAAAAATACCAAGTTATATGTTTGAGGGCTTTCGAGATACAACTTTTATTTGTTTATTTTTTTGTTTATTTATTTATTGCCACATCAGCAAATTATGGCTATTTTATGGCAAAACGGATATACATAAAATATTACTTGATAAAACAAATTTGTATTACAATAAAAAAAAGTTATTTAGACAAATTTATAAAATATAAATGAATACAATTCACACAAAAATATATTCAAAGTTAAATATGATTTCAGTTAAATAAATAAAAATTCTTCCTGGTGGTACTCTTTTAAAAATCTCCATCAAAGTACTCTCCTTAAATAAAATGTCTAATAGAATTTAAACTTCCACATTCCAACAAAATATGTTTGAGCAGCTTGACAGTATGATTGTATCACAACTATTGGATTACACATTTATTTAGCAAATATGCATTTATTCAGCTCATTATATTAAAAACACATTATGGTTTACACAAAAAACATTCAGCAACAACGGTATCGACTTTGATAACATTCAATGTTTTTTGAGCACCACATTAGCAATTCAGCATTTAAGACTAAATTCTGAAGGAAAAGCGGTCTTAAAATGCAATTTTGTCTTCACAGTATTATTGTTTTTATGGTTTGAGCCAATAAATGCAGGCTTGGTGAAGATCAAGCTGCTTTGACACAATCTACATTGTAAAACATGCTATAGAAATAAAGATCAATTCAACAGAACATACAACATATTTAAACTATTTCACCAAACTCAAACTTTTGAACAACAGTATGTTTTAAAACATCTTTTTTTCTGTGACACAAAAAGGGAATAAAGTGTATTGTAAAAAGCGCTGCACAAATAAGACTAAATAACATTGCACCATCTATCTCATGTGGAAGATGTATATTCAAGTCATGCATCTTAATCCCATCCCTCTTCATCTTTCTCTGTTAAGGATTTCCTGTCGACTCCATGAGGTCTCACTGAATACAAATACTGGTTTAAAATAAGACACAGGAAATTCATCTTCTGCCCCTTCATTGTAGACCGTGACTTACCCATTCATTTTCTCCCTTTCTACCACATCTGCGACGACATATTAACAGCCTGGACAATCACTCAGAGGAGCTTTATGCATTTCAATTTCAACTGTCTGAGTTTTTTCTTTTAATAAAATCAACAATATAGTGCCTTTCTTCTGCTACACTGAATTGAAAGCAGTCCTAATTCTGTCAACACAGCGTCTCAGTGCTTTTACCTCAGTGTTGGAGTAGTATGTGTTCCAGGAAGAGCGGAGACTCTCTTGACCACCAATATCCCACATCAGGAAGTGGGTTTTCTTCACCACTATTTCTTCCACATTGCTGCCAATCGTAGGAGATGTGTGCACCACCTCATTCATTAAACTGCACAACAAAACAGCTTCAGATAAAACATTCTGCAGTGATTTTGATTAATTACCACACAAAAACCTTGTTTACATATCTGTGCACACAATATTTAAATATATTGTGTTGTTGTGCTGCACATTATTCAGCTTAATAAAAAAAGCCCATAGATGTGTCTTGACTATTTAAATGACAATGGCTATTTACAACGAAACAATCAGGTCCAGGTATGAAGCTGCATAGAGTCCTTCATTTTTTTTGTCTATGAATTGAACTGTAATAAAAGTGAAAAATAAATATTTAAAAGCTGAGACTGATGAATAGTCAGTTTTCCAGATATTTAAGCATTTCTCCAGAATCAGGTTCAGTTTTGTAATATCAAATTCGCAGATGAATGGAGACATTTTGTGGATGTTAAGAAATAACAGCAAAAATGCACTGAGGAGAAATGAATGTGTCAAAAGAGAAATGAGAAAAAGTCATTCGTACACATGTAAAGCAACTAATTATGCTTAAATTATTCAACTTAATCGAAAATAAAATATATTATTAAATGCATGTTTAGTTCTAATTTATTGTTAAGGAATGAAGATGCCACATCAGTCAGAGTCATGCACACTTGGATTATACACTAGTGCTGCTCAATATATCATTTCAGCATCGATATCACAATGTGCACATCCACAATAGTCACATCGCAAGATCTGCAATGTTAAGTTTGAATTGTAGTTGACCAGAAGCAACAGAACACATCTGATTTCTAGACCTGCAAAGTTTACCCATAAAAATGTTTCATTAGCATGTGTTTTAAAGGCCTTTGACTGAGAATTTTAAAAGAATGTAAAAATGTCCAAAAAATGATGTTTTGAGGTGTAACAAAGATTAATTGTATTTACACGATTTATCAAAAAAGTTTGTCTTGTTTCTACTCCTAGTCTTCAGTGAAAATAAGATTATTTTACTCATGCCACTGACAGACAATTTTGCTTTGATTTAAAGAAAAAAAAAACTTAATTCTGACTTATTTCTTTTGAAGCTGAAAACAAAACAATATTTTTATGTGATCTAGGCATTTAGATATTTGGACTAGAAATGAGACAAAGCAAAGTAAGAAAATAATTTAGTTTTTTTCAATTTCTGTACCTAAACACTGTTAAGACTCCCCAAAAAACTGCCAAATAGAGCTATTCAAGCATCTTGTGAAGCTGTGTTCAATATATATTTATATATATCGCAGAAAAATAAAATATCACAATATCCGATTTTTTCAATATCGTGCAGCCCTGATATACACTAAACACTTCACTTTACTATTAAAAGAGTCTTAATTCAATACATTAATATTATTTACTGCGTTACAACCTTATGAAGAAATAATGAGTTGTACAATTTATTTTACAGAATGTTAATATTACTCTTATTGCTGCGTTTATAAATGCACTATTTAAACCTGAAGATGAAATCCGCCATAGCAAACAACGTATAAATTATTTTTTTAGAAAAATAATTAAGAGTGAAAAGCAATTGAAAGTATAATAAAACTTGTTCAATGTCAGTAATTTTAAAATGTTTTTAAACAAACAATCCCTAAAGTAAATAAAATATTACTTTACTTACAACTGATAAAGTATAGTTGTTTTCCCAGCGTTGTCCAATCCCACAATAATCACCTTGTGTTCTACAAAAAAAAAAACATAAAAATGGTCAAACCAATAACTCAAGAACAAACCTAAAATGAAGAATCAATAATTCTCAACAAGTAACAACACAAAAACCTGAATTTGAATATAAGAAGGCATCAAACTTAAAATATAACAATCTGTAATTTACATTGAATAGACATGTTTATAGCTTTACACTGGGTTCATTGTGTTTGCTGTGCTCGTTCTTCCCATTCATAGCTAAGTTTGTGGCTCTCAGCTCAACTAACTTAGAGATAATTGGTCTAGCAATCCCATACAAACACAGCACTGCACACTTGCGTAACAGACATGATTAGATAAACCAGTGATCCATTCATTATCAAAGCTTAATCTGAGAAGAATCTGACAGGCCGTGCATTCTTACAAAAGAAAGGATATTTATTGGGATCTAGGGCTGAGCGATATGGCAAAAATGCAAATTCGATATTTTTTTCCATATTGAAAATAACAATAATTTTTTATATAAGTGGTTTCCAGTTTTAAAAGTTACTATCCTAACAATGACTGATGCAACAAAGATTAGAGGATTCAATAAATTACCATTTAAAATATTGTTTTTTAGCAAAAAACAAAAAAAATGTTTGGCCTTAAATCAAAACTTCTTAAAAATTAAAAGTTCTTAAATGGATTCAGTCAGTGTTTTTATTTTGTAATGTAAATTTGTAAACACTTCAGGTACATAATATTTTCTGATGTTCTGTTTTTCATTTAAATTAAATCAGTATTTTTAAATCAGCTGTTGGTTGGGAAAAATTTACTGAAATGAGCAGCCCTGTTTTTCCACAGACCATTGACATACTTTACAGATCGTTTTAATCTGCTCCTTGTCACACTTCAGATAGCCAAACCACTTTCATATAACAGAATTTGTGCCACCTTTTGCCGATAATTCGATCATCTTTGGATAATAACTCGAGATTAGTTTACTTTAATGACTGCTTCCTCTCAATATTTTTATCCTCTTGTCGCGTTTGTTAGCAAAGTGCGGTAGGAAATGGTCTTTTAACTCCATGCTGAATGGTTGCCTTCACATACTGCTGCTGTGTGACTGGCTCTTAGATCAATATGGAGTAAAAATGTCCAGAGCTTATCATCCTTATCAAAATAAATTTGATGGCAATTCTGTATGACATCGTTTATTGGCCCAGCTCTATTGTGATCTGTAATTCCATGAAGAACACTTTGCATCTCTGGAAACTTTGTATACCACAACAGACTAATTGTCACAGAAACAGGATCTTTGTTTGGAAGAAAAAAAAGAGATTAATTGAAAAACTGTTTGATGAAACGATATTTGAGGGGAAATTGTTCTTCTATGAAATGGTCATTATATTCTATTTGTAAAAGAAAGAAAGAAAGAAAGAAAGAAAGAAAGAAAGACTTCTTTTAAGCACATGTATCTAACAGAGGACACATCTGGATTTTTTTCACCTCTGAACTGTAACGTGAACTACAGGAAGCAGGACTGCAAAACTCATGATATCTCTGACAGCTCCACAAAGACTTTCACGGCTATTACTTCCTGCAGGATGACCGACCCTTATTATACTTCTGTTGGGCTCCAGCAAAAACACCACAGGACAAATTCAAGTCACGAAGAGACATGGTTTCTCAAGAATACAGTTAACGCCACCCACAGTTTTTGGTGGAACTTCTCAAAACAAACTCAAGGACAAATATAGCCTAGCTTTAAAGTGCTAGTCCTTTTGTTTAAAGCTGTAGCTGAAGGACAAAAGCTACAAACATTAATGTGAGCATTTAATGATCGACAGTACCAATAGATTTCATAGTTATATTTATTTGTTTTTACTTAAATCTGATGAATATCAACAATGATATTCAAGAACTGCTGAACGACCATAGGAATGTTTGTCAAAGAGAGGAACACATGGTATAATGGACTGACTGGTCCTCTTCAGGACAGTAATCCAGGGAATTAGGGAGGAGAATGAGATTACAATGGTAGAATTCCTTCTATGTCTAAGTAGGCCAGAGTTATCCTGCTTTCTCCTGAGAGCTCCTCCTGGACCAAGAGCAAATCTCGGCATCTAGCCCAGAGGACTGGCTAATTCATTTGTAACGAACACATACAGAAAGCCGTATTACAACAACTAACTGAACGTGAATGCAAATAATTTGGTGTTAATAATGGCTGAAACAGCATACAACAATCCTGCCATCACACAATAACACCAATATCCATTCCAATGCTAAATTAACATCTGTCTGACATTACAACAATCTGGATCTAGTTAGAATGTTCGTCATGGGACAAAACTGCTAAGAAATGCAAAGAATTTGCCATTAAATAACATTTAGTTGTTCACTCACTAACAATGCACAATTTCACAATTACAAAAATATGCACTCAGGTAAAATTTAGAAGACAAAGAGGCATACTTTTATAAAAGAAAATTCTGTTTTAGAGCGCATGATTTGCCAATAACTCTCCTGAAGGCTGGATCTCTTGGTCAGGAAGAACTGACGGCTGAAAGAGGCAAACAATAGGGGAGCAATAGGTTTCCTCACACAGCTTTTGTTTGCCAGGTGGTCATGACGGCTGTTTCTCTACACAAAAGCATTTTCAATTCAAATCAGTTCCTTTCATTGTTATAGCAAAAGTTGAAACTGATAAATTGACCCCTCTCTGTCCTCTGGGCCTACGTTGTGAAAGACACATCTGTCATGGCAGCAGTGAAGACATTTCATAAACAAATGTACAAAAGTCTTTTTAAAAATAAAAAGTTTCACCTCTGGATAGTTGTAGGCAGCAAAAATTCATTTATAGCAAGAAAACACAGGCAAAGTCATAGTTTTTCCCTATGCATTGGTCAGTTTATAAAGGTTTTGCACTTTTTTACTTCTATAACATGTCTTTTTTTCAGAAAACCTTAAAACAAATGATGATGATACTAACAAAAATACACATTTATGTTAATCCACATCTTCTATTCCTTATGTAGACACAAACATCAATTTTGGTAACTTTTCAATTAAAGAAAAAATTTAAAGAAATGTTTTGATAATAATGTGTTACTAACATTATTTTTTTAAGATCTAATAAAAATGACATACTAAATAGCCCATCTCAGATCATCTGTAAAAACATTTAACTCCAATATATCAACAAAATGAAACGAGAGCTACTGATCCTGCTTGATCTAATGTTCAGATTTCAGTTCGGGAAATATTTGCAAACGTGAGTAATGTGTATGCTGAATCAGATAATGCCTCTTTTGAATATGTAAACATTTCAGACTTTTAATACACTACAAACAAGAGTGTTAGCTTATTTTTCTTAACCCTACTCACCTGTGGGTGATAGGTGCCCTAAAACCTTGTTATACTGCCAAAAATGACACTGTATGGCAACAAAATGACATTACAAAAAAAAGAAAAAAAAAGTGTGTACCATATGGTCACCAGGATTATTGCAGTGTTTCTGGACACTGTACATTTGCAGTACTGTAAAGTATTGCATGAACATAACATGTAGTGATCTCTTAATGCGTTTTATCAAAGTGACTGATAGCGTCATAATATAGTTACAAGAGCATTATCCTGATCAAAAAGGGTGAAGTTTGAGCTAGATATTGCTCAGAAATAACATAGAAGTATTACATAGCTATCCCAAGTCTGTTCCAACAAGTGGACAATACTCAATTTCTGTGAAATCATTTGAGAGACATTTAAAATGACCCATCTGTTACCTTCACCACTATCGCATCATCTTCTTGATGGTTTACTCTGGGCTAAGTTTACCGAGAGAAGATAACGGGGCACGAAAACGACAAACAGTTAATTTAGAAAGAAAAAAATAAATACAAATATTTTTAATACACAATGAGTGTTAAAGGTAAACGTGTCATTAGGAGCCTATGGCTTTGATACCATTAGCTCGACGCCTCGGATTTAAAACGAGCTTACTAGCATATTAACATTAGCTCAATGCGCCTGGATATCAACAATAATAACACCGGCAAAACCACTGGCTAAAAAAATCCGTCAGAACCCCATCTCTTACCTTGATTACAAAAGAAGCTCCATAGTTTGGCGAAGATTAGACCCATTTCTCTGGTGGGTGAGAGGCCGTGTCCAGCGAGGGCTAGTTTTGCGGAGAGGCCTACAGCAGCTGTCCGTGGAGCCGTTATTTCTTTATAAACCCGCTCTCGCCATGCGGTTAAGAGCACTCACCACACGCCTCTGCGTCTGTCCGAGCGTCCCTCTGTCTGTGTGTGTTCGCGGTGTTTTCACACAGGTAGGTTAAGATGAACAGCTCTTCTTTCGTGCGGTCAGATCAAGTGTGCGACAGACGCGAGTACGGCGGATACATCGTTAACCAAAACAAAAGCGTCTTCTTCACTTCCCAGATCACTCTGAGCTCATCAACATTTTCCTTAAAGACAAATTGCAAAACGCACACCGGCTCCACTTGTCTGGACACGGGTGTAAATGGTAAGACATAAGAGCTCATTGGAGTAAAATTGAGGCACACGGAGCTCACGGCAGCACGCTGCTGCTGCTGGATAAAAAATAAGCGATCACTCTCTCTGTTGTACACACATACACACACTCAAGAAACAAGCACACACACCACCATCCCCCATCAGTGTCAGGTTACACGTGTGAGGATCATGACGTGCACAGATCCAGCCCACAAGTGTCACATCCATACATTGCTTTGTGCTGAACATGAACCTACATTGAATATTCTGAATAGCAAACAAATTGTGATTATATCTTACTTTGACATATACTATAGCCTATATTACTGTAGTTGGTGTAGTAATACAACAACTAGTAATTTAAACAACCCAATATGTACCCAAAAAGTTTTCTACAACTCTATATTAAAACTTCAATAATCCAGTTTACCACAGAGTTTATTACAGTTTACAAGTTAATCATTTATGAAGTGATGTAGCATTTATTTGTGGGAAATGCTATAAAACACTTTACTGTAGTATGGCTTAACAAACACTAAATACTATCAAGATTCTATTATGTCATATTACTAAATAGTATTATAGTGGTTACAATATTAAAATCATTCATTCATTCATTTTCCTTCGTCTTAATCCCTTTATTTATCTGGGGTTACCACTGTGGAATGAACATATCCAGCATATGTTTTACACAGCAGATGCCCTTCCAGCTGCAATCCAGTACTGGAAAACACCCACATACACTATGAGGGAGCACCCAGAGGAAACCCATGCCTACATAAAGAGAAACTGCAAACTCCACACAGAAATGCCAACTGACAGCTGAGCCACCGTGTCACCCTATCGAAATCATTTGAGAAAGGTTTTACTTTAGCAGGTGTAATAAAGCCTTTCATTAAAAACTGTATTGCATATAAACTTAGACAAGTCATGTAGACAAGTTCACATTAATAAAAAAATGAAAAACCACAACACTCACAGAAACTGTAGAGATTTTAATCAATAAGGGAACCGGTCTTTCATATTTGTTTATCTTCTGTGTCGCCAGAACCACAAGTTCCTTCCTGCCTGTAGATCTTATTTGCTCAATAGTGTGAAATCTGTGAGATCTGATGTGAAATGGGGCCTTTATTCAGGTTAAGTGTTTGCTAATAAACTATTAAGAAAGTAGATAAGACATAAATAATCAAAACTCCTAGAAGCTTAATGCTCAGATTTCATGACAGGCCCTAAGCCAGGTGAAAGGGGTGGTTCTTTTTTCTTAAATGAAAGTTAAAAATTATTCACCTTGATAGTCTACAAAACAAACCACCATTATACAATAACTTGCCTTATTACTTTAACTTGCCAAGTTAACCTAATTAACTTAGTTAAGCCTTTAAATGTCACTTTAAGCTGTATAGAAGTGTCTTGAAAAATATCAACTCAAATATTATTTACTCTCATCATGGCAAAGATAAAATAAATCAGTTATTAGAGATGAGTTATTAAAACTATTATGATTAGAAATGTGTTGAAAAAGTCTTATCTCCGTTAAACTGAAATTGGGGGAAAAAATAAACAGGGGGCAGATAATTCAGGGGAGCTAATAATTCTGACTTAAACTCTATTGCTTTTTAATGATATTTAAAACAGGATTTTTGACAGGATTAGCTTGTCAGGTGGTCTTCATAACCATGCTTTGGATGAACCAAAAACATTTCCTAGACATTTAGAATAATGAGATATAAAAAAAAACCACATTTTTAAATACAAATAACATCATAAACCATTAGAGGAAAAGGGGAATCTGCTAGTTTTCAATTAAAAACTGTAGTCACTTCACTTACTTCAGATTATATGTTTTCTTGCACAGCTGGATGTTGCACAACTGATTAGCTGAAGTCAGAGTGACAGACTTAGGACTCTGAATTGTCGAAACGCCTTTTCGATGGGTTATTTTTACAATTTATGGTGGCATTCCAGTCAAAATAGGAAAATGAGCTCATGTTTGGACAATTTTTGGACCTTTGTCAGTGAGGGGTAGGTCTTTCAATCCACCTGAACCTTCCCTGGCTACGTGCCTGCTTGACATGTCAAAGAAAAACAATATATTAAAATAGACAAATAGATAAAAACAGTTAATAAGAACAGATAAAACAATCACTGTTTACAGTAATGTTCTATAGAAAGACTCGTAGGTAATAAACATGGCGTAAAGAGAAATACCAAATCTGCATGACAAACATATTTAGTGTCATATTTTTTATATTGTAAACATGGCCATTTTGTAACTAGACATTAATTCATGACATTCAGACTCACTAAAGCTTGTGTTGTAGATTTAGTCTAATATTGTTTCATATGTGGGTGTAGTCAGCTTCATATGAGTGCTGAGGCAAACACTATGTTCAGACTGGAATACTGCCATCATTTACTGTCATATAAATCACCTGTATGTAAACTATGCTTGATTCATGCATATATACAAAACCGACCTCAAAATAAATGTAGGCCTGCTATGAGATATGAACCAGTTGACTCCAGTTGTGAATCAAACATGCAACTGGGCTATAATGTAACTCTGCCTTGGATTTCAAAGTCAAAGTCAGCTTTACTGTCAATTCACATGTAGAGGACATACAGAGAATCGCAACTGCGTTACTCTCAGACCTTAGGTACCTAACATATAATATTAATACAAAAAGTAGAGTTTTAAAAAGAAATAACGATAAATACAATTACACATATAATATAATCTAAAAATATAAGTAAAAAATAAAAAATTGTAAACATTAAAATTACACTTAAGGCCATATGGCAAGGAGTGCAAATCAGAGTTGTGCAGATGCAAGTGCAAAAATGCTGTATATTGTAAAACAGTATATAGTGCAAAAGGCTTGTAAACATGATAATTTTGATAAAGTGATAGTGAGTGTCCTAATAATATGCATTTGGTATAGTTATGCCAATGCTACTAAAAAGTTGAATAAATATAATAAACAAGTCCTTGATTTAAAAATCTGTATTTTTGTTGTGAATATAGTCAGAAATAAAACGGTAAAATAAAAAAATGTTCTTTGCAGACAACACATGAAGAACACAAACACTAATAATGGTGCAGATGAACAATGAGCACTAAATTAGACTGAGCAAATCATTTGAAGTCTGCATTCAATCCATGACAAAGACAAACTCTCTCATTCCTTTGTATTAATTCCTCTGACATTTGAGATGAGATCTGACATCTTTGAGATGAGTGCAAACTGCAGATTTCTTTTTTATTTTTTTCCTGGCAAGAAAATATGGGACAGATGGTGTGCAGAAGATGTCCTGAGTCTCTTTTCACTTTCTTGAAGAATGCAGACAAATATCACACTCAGTGGTGATGTATATGGGCACAGTTTACTAAAGGGAAATATTTCCCAAGAATGAGTTTCACTACATGGATATAGAATAGTTTGAGAATCTTGAATCTTGAATAGTTTGAGAATTTTTTTCTGTGTGCATTTTCTTTGTATGTATACGTACATACAGTTGAAGTCAGAATTATTAGCCCCCCTTTGAATTTGTTCATCTTTTTAAAAAAATATTTCCCAAATGATGTTTAACAGAGAAAGTAAATTTTCACAGTAAGTCTGATAATATTTTTTCTTCTGGAGAGAGTCTTATTTATTTCATTTCGGCTAGAATAAAAGCAGTTTGTAATTTTTTAAACACACTATTTTAAGTTCAAAATGATTAGCCCCTTTAAGCGTTATTATTTTTTGATAGTCTACACAGAACAAACCACTGTTACACAATAACTTGCCTAATTACGGTAACCTGCCTAGTAAACCTAATTAACCTATAAATTTAACTTTAAGCTGTATAGAAGTGTCAAATATTATTTACTGTCATCATGACAAAGATAAAATAAATCAGTTATTAGAAATTAGTTATTAAAACTATTATGTATAAAATGTGATGAAAAAATCTTTTCTCTGTTCAACAGAAATTGGGGAGAAATAAACAGGGGCCCTAATAATTCTGACTTCAGCTGTATGTATGTATGTATGCATATGTGTATTTTAACTATTGAGGCTAGGCGACAAGGTGGCTCAGTGGATAGCACTGTTGCCTCACAGCAAGAAGTTCGCTGGTTCGAGTCCTGGCTGGGCCAATTGGCATTTCTATGTGGAGTTTGCATGTTCGCCCATGTTTGCGTGGGTTTCCTCCGGGTGCTCCGGTTTCCCCCACAGTCCAAAGACATAAATAGGTGAATTGAAAAAGCTAAATTGGTCATAGTGTATGTGTGTAAATACGAGAGTATGTTTTTTTCCCCAGTACTGGGTTGCAGCTGAAGGGGCCTCCACTGTGTAAACCATGCTTGATAAGTTAGTGGTTCATTCCACTGTGGCGACCTCTGATAAATAAAGAAACTAAGCTGCAGGAAAATAGATGAATGAATAAACATTAAGACTATCCATTCCATGTCATAGACCCTAATTCATCTTTCTATAAAGTCAGGGAACACATATCTGAGCAAGCTTCTTTTTATATATAAAGGTCAAAGCAGCTAAAGGCTTGTGTATTTTCGGGCTCTGTGAGCTTTAACAGTCCTACAGGAGAGTGTAAGTGGGCTGTTCTCACAGCTATGCATTAATTTATCTACAACTTGCATGTTGTTTGCTGGCAAGGATTCTCAAGAACATCAAAAGCAAATACTTGATTAAAAAAGCAGTGTTTATTCTAAATTCAAACAAATTCATAATATGTTTAATGTTAAGATTAATGTATATTTCTCAGTATCTCTTTATTTTTTACAGTATTTAATATACTGAATAGATGTTAACAGAATATTGCAAAACATCAAGATGGACTTAAATCCTGATTATTTTATTGCGACATATTTGGCTGTCAGACGC